TAGAATTTAGAAAACAAAAATCATCTGTAATTTCTCCAGTTAGAAGTGCTACTAATGTTTTGGTTCTAACTCCATTTTCAAGGAAATTTGTAAAGCACAATAATGCCTTAGTCCAGAGAAAGAGTTTCTAACAAGAAACTTGCAGACCAGTGTGAGAATTACTTAAGAACTTGAAGGGAAGATTTTATGACTCCACTCAGGAATCCACCTTCTGCTGCTTCCCTGAGCCTTCCTGCCAGGAGGTCATGGGAACAGGCTGTGAGGGAACATCCCTTCCAGAGATCCTTATTTCCCACAGTAAGGCAGAGGGGGAAACCATAGCTTCTTCCTCCCATGTTTATCCCAGTCCTTTTGCCCCAAAATCTTCAGCCAGGAATTATCTGATTTGGATAGTCCTTCCTTTGGCCCTGTAGTTTCAAAGACTGGGACTTTTGTGATGGGCTTGAGAAAACAAATACCACCAACCCAAGAGCCACCAGAACTTTCCTTCTCTTACCTGTCACTTAGAAACCTAAGGTGCCCAGCCTATCTCCATAACAGACTAAACTCATAGCAACTGGGAAGGAAGAGCACCCACCTAAGTGAACTTAAAAGGCAGCAACTAAATCAGGACTGGGATACTTACAGAGCAGTTCTTTCACAGAACCTTGGAGGAGATGATTCTGGAAATGGAGGATCCTGAGAAAGGGGAGCAAGGCACAGGGGGCCACAGACCGAGATGATAAAGGATTTCTAATTGTTAGCCACAGCTTTGCAAATTCCATCTGCATATCTGAGCCTTAGGTCACAGACTTATTACAGATCAGAATTAAACCCCTGGAGACCAGGAAAGATTGAGGTACTTAAAAAAGAGAGAGAGAGAGAGTTTGGTGGGTTTTGTGTTTTTTTCTTGTCAAAAACTCCAGCTGGGCTTTTGTGTGGTGACCTCTGTGAGCCCAGGAGAGGCCTTGAGGGGAGGGGGATTTGGCCCAAGGAGGAATTCAGAACATTCCAGCTTTGAGGGTGGTGAGAGGAGGGGGCTCTGGTATGCCCATTAGGTGTCCCTGGCTATCAGCCCTGTAGCCCAGCGGGAAGTAAGCTTCATAAACACAGCCCTGGTGAGCTAGTGCCCAAACATCTCTGCACTGTAGCCCTACACTGCCTGGAGCCTAGCTTGTTTCTCCAGCAAGCCCCCAGCCTTGTATGACCCCTCAGGTTGACCCCAAGGCTTAAGGACAAGCATGTATTTAGACACTGTGGGTTCCAAGAGCAGGTCCTACAGGTGGGACTAAGGTGATCATCATGATGGTGGGCCTCCCCTTTTAACCACACAGCAATATCCTACACTATGTCATGTAAGTCTCTGAAAAGTTCTGTGGTCTGTATTAGAGAACTTCAAAAAAAAAAAACAGAAAATGGTATTAAAATATATTTATTATGTGCAAAACTTTTTGAAATTCACACATAGTTTTTATATAATGCACATTTTCCATAAATTTTTTGAAGACTCCTCAAGAGAAGCAATTGGGTGTCTCTCTAAATTGGGGGGTGGAGGAAGCTTTCCTGTATTTTCTGAATAGAAAAAAAAAATACTAAATGTTCACTGCCTTCTTTGCATGTACATTGTTGTGTTCCAGAAAGGCCAATCCTTTCTAAAGATGGTACAGCTTTGAGTCCTTGATTTGACTATATAGGCTTGAGCTTTGTGGCATATCACTTTTACTATATGCATAGGACGAGCTATTCTTTGTGAAACAGCTCAAAATTTCAAATATCCCATATGAATGATACAGTAACAAGAAATGTCTATTTTGTATCTGAAGACTGTCATAAATCTGAAGTTTGAACCTATATATTTCAATCTGGTATGCAAAAAAGTACTGAATATTTAATGTAAAATGTTTTTTAACAATATTGTAATTTTAGTACAAAATTTAAACGACAATAGAGAATCCAAATGATTTCTGTATTGTAAATCAAACTGTAAAAGTAACATGTGTGATTCTGAATACATAGATAAAATGTTATTATTCCTCAACAAAAAAGGAAAAAGAAAAGAAAAACTAAATGTTTTACAAAAGAATTCAGAAAACAAAGTATAAAGAAGATAATAGAGATCCTCATGATACTACCAGCTAGAGATAAACATAGGTAACTTTTTGTTTGTTTTGTTTACTTCTGTTATAGAGCACATGCACTCACCAGAGAGAGACAAAAAGAGAGAAAGGGAAAATGAGAAATCACACCTCAGGGGGAGAGGCCATGCTGCAGTCCCTTCTCTTCCAGTCTCCTCTTGGGATTTGAGGGCATACATGCATGCACACATGCCTGGAGTGATTTTTAGTCCCACACTTGAACTACATAGTTGGCCATGTGGGATCCAACATCCTAAACTCTATGCCACCTGCTGGCCAAACATTGCTAACATTTTGATGTATTACAGAAGGCATCAATAGAAATCATTTTTACAAAATTGAATTACAGTATACCTACAATTATCTAACCTTTTATCATTTCTAAATAATGTGTTACGGACCTATTCTCATGCCACTTGAAAACCAGCTATATCATTCTCTTATGGCTTTATTGTATTATATCATATAAACTATTTATTCAATCATTAACTATTACACGCTTATGTTATTTCCATTTTTTTTCACTGTTATAAGCTAACATCTTTACATGTTATATAAAAGCCTAGGAATAGAATCACTAGGTCAAAGACTAAGCATTTTTAAAGGCTAATACCGCATATTACAACAGTAGGACAACTATTACTATGTCCAGATGAGAAAACTGAGGTCCAGTGAAATGAAGAGAATGGATTGCTCAATA